ACCATTACACATGCAGTTTGGATTTAGGACATTGCCACAATTCCTAATGGCACTTAATTTGGCCCGGTTCAGGTGCAGCATTCTTCCCTCTGACTGGTAGTTTAGTGCAACTATTTTTTTTACAAAAAAAAAAAACGGTGTTATTACTTACTGAGTATGTTAACAACATTCTTGCTTGTAGAACCAAGTTAAAGGAAGGATATTTTCACATTTGACTTCTTAGATGCAAAAACTCAAATGTTTTATGAAAAAGAATTCTCTTATATCATATAAATCACAGCTTGAGGGAGAGAAGCTCTTTCAGACAACAGTCTGAACTCTGAAGTCTTCTTGCATTTGAGATGTTAAGCCCAAACCACAACATTCATTTCTTTTCATTTATCAGACAATTACTTGCATGTTTGAAGTAATTTATCTAGGTACCAACATAGACAGTAACTAGGAGGACTCAATTATCAGTAAAGTTGGACGAGCAGAGAACTCATAGTATTTTAAGGGGTGATTCCAGAGCTCCTATTAAAACATCCCTCCAAAAATGAAAGAAAAATAAACAAGTTTTCTTTCTGCTCACCAAGTTGGCAGCCAGCATTCCAGAATGGCTGGGGATTGTAGTTGCTGGAGTCCACCCGGTAAGAAGATGGGTAGATGCGGGACAACTGATGCTGGTTGAAACGTAGATACTGTGCTGGCTTTTGCTGCAGTATCTGGTGGGCTTTTGTTTCACTGAAAGATGAAACCTGCCAGCTGGAAGAGACTACAAAGAAGAGAGGAAAAGATTAGAAGTAATGTCCATATTTAGTTATTTATTACCTACTTAAAGCATTCAAAACTACATAGCACTAGTTCCTTGTAACTATCAAGCATCATTTGAATACATCCCACTCAGAGGGAACTGTGCTTTCCTTGTATTACAGCAAAATCATTGTGCTTATCAGAGGAGTTATGTTGGGAAAATGAAGCTGAACATAATGAATGACCTGAATCTTCATTAAGAAGTTTAAAAACAATACTCTAAGATTTTTGGAATTTGTTCAAGGAAAGTATTTTGGACAAGATTTTTGGAATTTGTTCAAGGAAAGTATGCTTTCTGGCAAGCAATTCTCTCTGACACTTTTAACTAAAACTTGATTCCTGTTTTCTGGTAAGCAATTCTCTCTTTCTGACACTTTTAACTAAAACTTGATTCCTGTCAAAATAAGATGCAGAAAACTTAGAAAGAGGACTGAAATATTCTAGAAATGTAACGCTTTTAATTCACCACATTTGACTTAAAAATCTGAACTTTATGCTGGAAATGCTCTTCAGCTGTCAAAATAAGATGCAGAAAACTTAGAAAGAGGACTGAAATATTCTAGAAATGTAACACTGTTATTTCATCACATTTGACTTAAAAATCTGAACTTTATGCTTGAAATGCTCTTCAGACCATTCTGCCCAAGAGCATAACTAAGTCCTCTGTTATTTCCCAGGATGCACGTGTTGTGTACCTTGTTGTGTGCAGCTTTTACACAACCTGGCAAAGACTACACATGTACTAATTCCTGCCTGTAGTAACTTTTTCTCCTTTATGGAGAAGCCACTTGGTCCATTCTGAATGGCAAGTGGTCAGCTACTTTAAAATAGTATAGCTTTACTGTGTGCAGCTCTTGTGTTAAACTCTTTTCAAAGTCGGGGAGAAACAAACAGAAATCCAGCTTTTAATAAGAGGATATGTAAGAACATAAACCTTTCAGTTTCTTTGTATAGCAATTATTTTCAGCAGACTTTTAGTTCAACCTACTTTCAGTTTCAACATCATGGATGCCAACAGACTTTGTGTATTTCACCAGGTCAGAGAGTGCCCTGGACAGCTTCATTGTTTTCTTCTGTCGGTTTACCCTAGAAAGATAAAACAAATTAATTTCCCATTAATTAAGGGTCAAATTTTACTTTTCATATTTAAAAATAAACCAGGGTAAAGAAATCTAAGAAGGTTTTCTTCCACTAAGGAGGTGCTTAATAGTTTTATACCCCATAGAGCTTCATTGTCAAAGCACAGAAGTTGTAGAAAAAGGGTGCAATACCTATTCACATATATATTTACTTCTCAAGTCAAGTACTAACAAAAAACTTTTTAAATCCCAAAGAAACAGTAAGAAAGTAATGCTCTGATCCTCCTCATTTGCTTCAGGTTAAGTGATAACTAACAGCATATCTACAAACCTCCCATAGAAAGCTCCAAAGTATCCTAGAGAACTGCTTGATCTGAATTCTTACTTTTGAAGCCTGAAGCTTACGCAACCATTCTGCAAAGGATCTTTGATGTCAGGATTTTTGAAGAGGCAATTTCAAAAGAAAGATCAAAATCATCATCTGGATGTTGATGCAACTTCAGTTGACAGATTATTGAACAGTAAAAAAAAATACATCAGCAGGGGACCTGACACACTGCAAATCCACCTTAATGGATTCACTGGGCCACCAGTCAAATGTCCTGTATGTCAGCTGGATGAGATGGTAAGAGCTCAAAACACATACAAGGTCCACTGTACTTTGCTAATTAGTCTGAATGGCACCATGAGGTCATACTGATGGTCTTGTGACAGACATCAGACCTACCCTTACACCAGATTACTGGCACTTGCCTGCAGCCTTCAACAAATTGGCTTCTAGACCTGAAGTAAATTGCTTTATTGGGTACATTTAGGTTTTTTTTTTAAAACAGAATTGCCAAACTACTTGTTAACAAACCTGCTGTAATGTACAGAGCTCTTGGCTACATTTGCTTGAGAATCCGAATCATCTTCACCCTCTTCCAGACTTGTCGCCTTTTTCAATTTGCTTCCTTTTTTCTGTGCCACAAGGGAAAAAAAAGCATAGTATCATAACCATCTGATCAATGTTTCAGCAGCTGGATACCATTCTGCTTTGTTATGCCAGTGAGTATGTTAATTACAGACAATGGGAAATGACAGCTTTTGTAATACTCAGTATTGCAGAACACCACGCGAGCACATGGGGAAGACTGAGCCCAAGGCCAGAGCCTTTTTATACAGGAATCACAGATTCTCAGATAAAATGTGCAGATTCAGTATTTTGTTTTTCAGTTTAGATCTTGGATACTTTTAGACCTTGAAACTATCTGTTACGCACAATTATAACCAGTTATCCAGCCTACCTATTCAGTGAGCAGTCTGATAGCATCCTCTGCCAGACAATGCAACCATGACCCACCTCTCCACCACTGTGTGCGAAGGAAAAAACAATCCAAGAACACTTTGTGCAGAATTAACCTACCGAGTGGCTCACCTTGCGTTTAGAAAAACTGCCCATCAAGGACCGGCTGTGCCTTTTGTTGGTACTGAAGTCTTCCCCAGATTCCACATCATCCTCAACTTTATTCTAAAGCAATCAAACAAAGAATAATGTCGCAGACCAAACAGAGTGCTACAGACAGCATATTTGAGCATTATCAGAAATAGCTGGGGAAGCTAATCCTCCCTAAACTGTCAACCTGCCTGGACCAGACCAATGCAGACTTTTTTCTTTTTTTTTTAACCCACATCTGAGTACCAGGCCTTGTATCCCAGCAATAGCTGCTATCATTGCTGTCCAAGGGAACCTTCAGAGCAGACAGAAACCACACAAACACCTAACCCCAACTTCATTTTCATCCAGGCAAAGTTTGAATGTCCCCATACCACGTACATTCACTGTATGTGCTACAGACTGGTTTGTAGCTTAATATTTGAAAAGTGTAGTTTAATGGGACTTCTTTCTGCCAATTCCACAGTTTTAATAGGACACTTCACAGTAAGAAAGAAACTCAAATCTCATTAATCCCTAAAAATGTGCATGCTCATTTGTGCCACTGGTTTTTAACATGACCTTGCAGTTTTGTTGTTTCCTAGACTAATAAAACACAGACTATGCTGGTTAACTCCAGAATGCAAACGGATTCCTGAAGTCTTGGCCTTGTAGTGGATCTTACAAGACCAATTGGCTGATACATTATGTAAACCATTAGGCTTAAATGTACACATAAAACTCATGCCATAGAAAGTTTTGGGAAGCTGATTTTCAGCTCTCATCGAGTTTTAATCCCTAGTTAGTACACCTGCTCATTACTTGGCAGATCTCCAATGTTTTTCATTTGCATGCAACAACCTTCCTAAGCTTTTTGTGGCTTATTAAAAAATCTAAAATGACAATGCCTCAAGTTCATGAAGTCTGTGGGCTGAGTACATTGTTATATATAAAATTAAAATACAAATGTAAATGCATAGAACATAGAGAACCGAGGAAAAAAAGCTCAACTTTCATATGCATTTTTTATAATGGAAAATAAAATTATTTCTGTTGAAAAGTCATTTCACGAGTATATTTCATGCTCCAATTGCTGTGTGAGCAAGAAAAAAAAGCTTTGTGTATCTGACAGTGATATTCACCTGGCATCATCATTAACTGAATGAATACAGCTATGAACCTGAGGTCAATAACACATGATTTATTCAGTAAACTAATAAAACACAGCAAATGGAAATGCTAAAACACCTCTTTCTCCGAAGTCATTGGAGAAAGTCATTGGACTTTGGAGAAAGAGGTGGTTAGCATTTCAGTTTCTATTTTGAAGGACTGCCATACTTCATTATTCATCTCCAATAACCGACTGTCCCTCTGCATCAAGCATGAATCATAAAACCAGCTAAAATTAAAATCGCATTATCAGCAAATTAAATAGAGCTTCTACTAAACGGACATAAATCTGAAAATTATTCCTACTTATAATATAGCTTTTATATAAGCAAAATGAGGCATTAATAAGATATTATCACAGGAGAAGGGAACATGTTTTCTTATATATTGAAATAGCCAAATATGTGGTGGTCAAGGCAGTCATCCAAGAATGGAAAACATAGCTTCAAAATTCCAGTTCTACCTAAGTCTGACTGGGGACATGAACCTGGATCCCCCACGTCCCAGGTGGATGTTTTGGCACTCTGGTTATTCCTGAGTTGTATTATCCTGGTTAACCTAGACAGGAGACAGGGACCTACTGGCAAATAGACTCTGCAAAATTCATCGTGTGACTCACACTATCTTGTTCTAAGGGAAGTGCTGAGCATTCTTGAGGTTCATTAGCACTATGATAGCTGTGGACACCTCAGGTGAACTGAGCTAGCTCTACTGGGGAGTCTCAAAACAGATTTAAAAGCCCAACTTTACACATCCACCTTTGAAAGTGCAAGCATTATTGTTACAAAATAACAGTACTATGTATCTATAGAGACAAACAAAACAGCAACCAGATCTAGAGATAAGAGAAATATAGTAAAACATGTTCACCTTCTTACTATCTGATTTCAGACCAGCCTTTCCTGATGATGGTAGAGTGGTAACTGTAAAATTATTTGGATCTTCACAGTCACGGATTTTAGATTCTTTTATCAGTGAGTCAAGTTTTTTCTTTGCTATATTCTCCACTCTTTTCCTATTAGTAGATGCCTACAAACGAAACAGAATTATTAAATTAGGTAGTGATGAAAAAAAGTCATAGTAATCCTAGCCAAGATTAATGCAAACTAAAATGTTATGTGCAAGAAAAAAAAAGTTTCTTCATTTGCATAATGTGAAGCACTTTCCTGTGCAGCTCTGCATCAGACTTAATGTGAGGTATGGAAGCACATGAGAGCCTGAAGTAGATGTTAGATCTAAAGCATAAACATGAGAGAGTAAGAGAACTCCTGTTCCCTCCTGTGCACACCATAGCCCATGTGGGGAAGTCAGGGAAACAAAAATAGAAATCCAGAGTTTTCTTTTTCATCCATGAGGCATAAACTCCCATTCCCAGGTCTTTTAAGAGGTGACAGATTGTGTTTTCTCAATAGGCCTTAAGAAATCCCAGTTAAATTTGTAATGAAACAAGCTATGATTTTCTGAGGTCTTCAAAATTTGGCTTGGAAAACAAACCAGATGTAGCAAAATCTCAGATTTAAAGCATCAGTAAACCTCACAGCAAAATGAAGTGTTAGTAACAAAGACAATGAGGTCAGCAAAGCAATGCCTACTGAGCCTCTAGTGAGGATAACACACCCAGCCATAACACGTTACTACCTAATTTTATTATGAATAATGACACTTTTCTTACTGACATTACCGTCTCGATCCATTTAATGGAGGAAAAATAAATATTATTTGACATCTCTTTATAAATAGCACATGTGTGGGTGAAGTCAAAAAGAATCATGGCAAAAGTATTTTCTAACAATGAGAGACCCTGCTAACATTTCTGCCTGTTCAAGCATCTGCATCAGGATCCTCTGGAAACAAACCATTTTTAAGTCTAGAAATTATCTAGAAAACTTGCAAAATCAGGATCTTAAGTACCACAGTGCCCCTGATCTCAGCAGGGTTGGCAAATCACCCGCCTTGTTTCCTTTGGACTTTGGAAACAGCCTGCCATGCCTGGGAGATAGACAAAAGAACTAGAAAACAGGAAAACAAGTGGAGCAAACTTTGTTGATCACAGTAAAGTTTCAAAGTCAACAAAAGTCCAATTCTCATTTTGTTCAGTTTGCACAGTTCCAGTTTCCTGCACAGGAAACTATACAGGTAGCCCCTAAGTGGTTTGTAAAAGCTTTTGGTTTGGCTTTCAACTCATTTTCTCTCTGTTCAAAATAGTCATTCATGCCTTGACTCCAGGCCTGATCTTATTTAGGTGGAAAGCCCAGCTGGGCTGAGCTGTATCACCACTGGCTGTACAACACCTTCCCCTTGGAAAAGATGCATCATGTAACAAGAAAGTGTAAAAAAATATGAAGTATTGAAACATCACAGATTTCAGCTTTAAAACATTAAAACGTGCTATGTTAAAACATAATAATTTAAAAAACTAAACAAATTATTTTTCCTCTTCGGTAGACTTATTCATAAAGAAGTCTCTCTTTTAGCTTTAGATGTAGAGGCTCAAATCCATAATACAAAGTGAGGAAAGAGCCTGAGGGAGAGAGGACTGAAAATGCAATCTCTCCACAAGGCAATCTAGTTTATGATATTAAATGGGCTTGCTGTGTATTTTATATTGTTGCTGTAAGGTGCAATGTCACTTGCCAGAAGATTAAAGTGACAAAAAAAAATTAGCTTTTAAAAAGGATAAAGAAATAAGGGATTTTCAGGTTGAAGCAAGCAGAGATTAAAATATTCTCCCTTTTTAACACCTCCTTACAGTAAAAATCAACTAAACCTAGCATTCAGCAAACCAAAGGAGTGCTCTGTAACGATGACAGCAATTTGACATAAGTAGAATTTTTTTTCTTTTCTTTTTCAGCATTTGAAGCTGAAGCTGAAGCTATGAAGCTATGATGCAATAAAGAAACATGAGATACTATTATTTAAAATATTAAAAGACACAAAATTCCAAACTTGAAACACAATCCCTACAGCTGGTGCTGTCGAGTATGGACTTTTGTCAAATCTGTGCCCCTGAAGGTTTAGAACCTACAAGACTTGTGATGAATCCCAAAGATTAGACCACATCCATATTCCAGAGAAGTCATAAAAGGTTTATTCTCACAGGGCTAGGAAAACTTAACATACATTTACATTCAAATGGTCACTTAACTTACATCTCCATTCATTAGTTTGCAGTCATCATCAATCTCATCAGCGCTGTCCTCATCAGAAACTTCACCTTCCTCTGCATCATCACTGATGTTGGCTGGAAGTTTCTTCCCCTAGAAGATGAAATGATTACATGGGCAGGTTAGCATGCAGCTCTTGCTATCACACTTTTTCTTTTTTTTTTTAAAAAGAAAAATTATTCAAGACACACACCCAGGTTCTTATTGGCTGAGAAGATATTTGTTCAGAACCTTAAGTACCAGATTCTTAAAGACTTCTTTTTGTAAAATGATTTAAGTTAGGGTTGATAACCAGGAAGAAATCATAATCATCACAAACAAAAAGAGGGATGGAACAAACAAAGGAGGTTTTCACCTTTACTAGTATCTTTCCTTTAAGACTTGCTGGTGAAGGGAGCTTGGTAGAATCATCATTGTGCACAGAAGACAGATCCAGTTTGTCTCCCAGAATTTCTGTAAGATACTGAGCCATCTTCTTCTGCTGAACGACACTGCAATGGTTCTCAATTGACAAGATAACAGGGTACCTGGCAGAGACATAGGCAAGTATCATCAACTGCAAATTTAGCTTTTATAGCATTAAGAAGATAAGGGTTATTACTGTCTGAGCCATTTCTGTAACAGGCATCACCACCAGTGAAATCCAGAGGGGTCGGACAAATCAGTGTGGGCAAAGGACTGATACCCCACTACTCCCTGCAAACTCAATGGTCGACTTTTTGACAGCCACAGGACAGTTAAACTTCTGCAATCTGATTTCATGCACTTTTTTCCAGAACATACTTTTCACCTTCCCACACTAGAGTCCTGACCTCTGCTTCCTACCAAAGAGATTCTAGCACACCATTTGTAAGGAAAACCTAAATAGCCAGTGCCTTCAACTCTCCTCTTTATTCAGTGATTCAGAGCCTTTGTACTCTCACAGGTAAATCATAGAATCATAGAATAGTTTGAGTTGGAAGGACCTTTAAAGGTCATCTAGTCCAACATCCAATAATAAAAAAACATTCCGAGAGCTCAAAAGATCCCCAAAGGGGCTTTGTTTTTACCTTCTCACTTCCAAAAACAAGTGATAAACCTGTTGTGTTAGTTCTTCCATAAAAACTTTTCTAGCTACCAACAGAGCAGTGTCATACAAACAAAGCCTTCTACAAAGACAGTATTATTTCTAGATTTAGTTTTATTGTTGTCATTTATTGCTGATTCTCCAGGCTGAGGCCAAGAAATAACAACGCCTGGTTGTTTTAAAGGCACCAAGGTAAGATTTGTGAAACATTGATTCGAGCGTGGTTGGTGTCATATAAAAGCACACAGAAGATGGGATTTCTGTTCAGAGACAAACATTTTTAGGATGAGGATAAAAGCCAGTATACGTGAGCTTTGTAGGGCTGAATGAGGGATTCATTAATTAAAAGCTAATTATGAATAAAAAGATGTCTATCCTGACATCTGGCCCTCATTAGCTCCTCATCAGGAAAAATGAGGCTTTCAGCCAGACAATGCCTGCAGGACAAAACCTTCCCAATTGATGAGAACAGTTAAATTCCCAGCAGCTGAACTTGCAGCCTCCCAACAGCTACGCCTCCAGAAAACCCCTGCAAGTCTCAAATACATTTTGTTCAGTACCAAACTCTGACTGAGCATCAATACCTATCAAGAAAAAAAACCCACCACAAATAATAAATTGTAACATGGTCCCAGTTGACCTTTCTGTAACTCTTTTAAGAATTTATTCTGATGGCCAGCTCTCCTTGGATTTATTTACCAAGTCTTCAGGCAAACTCCAAAAATGTCAGGCTCACAATAAGTTTACCTGGGCTGAAATTTCAGTGCAAGTTTAGCTCTATTAATTAAGGCAGATGGACTGCTTTGCAGAAGCTACTGGAAAATTTTTATGGAGATAAATTATCTTAAAATAATTGATAGGCTGACACAGACATTTTGACTCAGAAGGAGGACAGTACTGCCAAGGTATACGAAACTTCCCATTGTATGACTCTCTGGTTTCCTCAGCAATGTACAGGCAGGGAAAATAACCTATTTCTCCTGAACAGTCTGCTTTCTCCACAATTGTTACTGTCTCTTTGTATTCCTTTGCTGCCTGACTTGCTTCCCACCCCTGAAGCAACCAACCAAGTGTATCCCTGACATCGCTGAGGACACATCGAGAGATATGTGGTTAAACTGTCAGCTACTCACTAAAAACATTCACTGTCAAAACACGTTGATCTTCTTTTCTTCTATGAACGGCATAGACAGCCCCACAACTCCGTACAGAACGCCCTTACTCAGTTAGTTTTTGCCTTGCTGTTTCTTTCTGTAGCTTTCTCCCCCCAGAAAACAACTCTGAATTCTGTCTGGCACACGTAGGAGCAGGTCAGATTGTCACTGACTGCCTTTACAAGGATGCCCGGGAACACTCCAGTTTATAGCCCTGAGACTCAAAAGTTGGCAGACTGTATACATACTCATTCTTGATAAAGGCATATTTGTTGATAGTTTCAATCACATCTTTGAAGAGAATTTTGGAAGTCAAAGTGTATCCATGGTGGACAATTGGTTCACCGTCCGGCCCATCCCAGCAGTCAACTGTAGAACAGAAACAATGACACCCATCAGACAAGTAACATCTGGGGCCACCACCTGTGGAAGAGTATGGGACCCTGCAATTCTACTGAATGTTAGTATTCTCTCTACAAAATTATTTTTACAATTTTTTCCTCAGTACCAATGACACTGCTCTTCAAATGTCTGCCTTATTTCCACACTCAAGAAATTCCTCCTTTATAAGGTAAGATTGTTTTGTTGTTCTTTATGAAAGGAAGACACAATTTTACTAGGCTTTTTCTTCTACCCAGTTACCACATCTTCTGCAGGACTAATAAGTCTTCCTTTACAGAGGAGAAACAAAACTATGGAGGTTACTGATGATTGCTTTTTGATCTTTACCTTCTACGCAACGACAGCCAGCTTGTAGCACCCATGCATACATGTCCACCCTGGACTGGGACATCAGCTGATCTCCCATGAGGTAGGTATTATGTGAAGAGGTAATGAAATAGTGACTCAAAGGATAACTCATGTCCTGATTCACTTGGTAGTGTTCTGGGTTGAATATGTCCCCTGATGGACTCCGCATGTAATTGGTGAAACCTGTAAACAAACACCATCATAAATAATACAGTTTGTTACTGCAGCCTTCCTAAAAACAGCCTAAAAATGCATCCCTACATTCACCAACACACTCATGAACACGTAAGATAAATAAATAACACTACTACGTCCTGTCACATTTGCGATTATTGCTTTCAAGTAATTGCTAGTTGCTTTGTACATTTCCTTGCTCTGCGCCTTTCCTGAAAAAATATGTCTATTTAACCCAAACCTGATATTTTAGGCTTATAATTTTTGTCAAAAGACTCTACTAGGACATTAAATCGCATGGCATATAAAAGCCTCCACAGATCTGCGGTCATATTCTGGCATTTTGATCACAGATACACAGACGCTTTCACAAGACAGATTAACATTAAAAACTGTTACTTCCATTTCAAGTCTCTCCTAAATTCTTTTCATTCCCCACCAATGAAAGACTGAGATTTCCATTGACATCCGGGCTTTAACACCTGCTGACAGTGATGATGTCTTTATTCAAAAGGTCTCTGCTTTAAGACTTCTAGTTCTCCTGACATTTCACTCATCATTCCATAAATAAAACAGTGCCTGTATAAAAATCCTGCCACACTTCTAAAGGTCTTAACTCACTTTCTCTGACTGTGACATGCTGGTCCTTTATTTCACTAAAGCTACACAAGGAAAAATATCTCCAGTCCTCAAAATCAGCCTCAAATACTGGTCTAGAGAACACAGAGAAACTGAGCTTGAAGAGAATTTAAGACTAAATGTCATGTTTATGATGGTCTTGCGTTGACAAAAGTTTTATTAAAGGAGAAGAGCTGGTAAATAGCATTTTGAACAATACCCAAGGAAACAGTGCTAGGGAATGTTCTGTTCTGTTGCACTTCCAGCAAGTCTCCCATAAGGAGCAGAGCCCACAAACATGAAGCTTTTTCCAGTTGTCTCAAAACGGCCTCACCTTCTACTTCCTCCTGATCAGAAGACACCCAGCAGAATGTCACCCAAGTTGGGCTGCTCTCTAATCCTAACCCACAAACTCTCAACTAGTTTCTCATGCATTCTTAGGCAAAGTGATTTATAGATCAGGCTAGAGTTTTTCACAGTTTTTCTTTCTGGTATAAAAACTACAGTTGCTTGAAAAGCCTAGTTTGCTTTTCTAGCTATGAGGAAGGCAAGATAATGAACCTGATTATTCATTATTTGTGTGACTGCGACTGAGTGCAAAGCACCAGAAAATGAAAACATTAATATGTCAACTGCTATTCTCACTTCACATTAGTATAAGCTTTAAAACATATTGAAAATTTAGGAAGTAGACCAGACCTGAATCCATCCTAAACAACCATCATTTATTGAAATAAAACCCAACCACCTTACACAATACCCCAGAAACTACCCATTTTGTGCAGTAAATCAATCTGAACTTATATTTTGCCTCTTTTCACTATGACAATGAACAGAAATGGACAAAATTGATTTTCAAAAGGTCCTAGAATTTTTGCACAGAATCTAATTCCTGAGGAATGTATTCTGTTCTTGGAGACAGTAAAATCTGGCAGAAGATTTACTGTTTAGGGGAAAGGATTTAGAATCAGTCTTCAAAATAACAGCTACCATCATGATGGTACCCCATTGTTATATTCAGAGCAAAGGCTTTAGCACCAGAAGTCATGAAAGCATATACTTCTAGACAAATTTCAGCTATCATCCTGCTTCACATGTTTACTCAGGATCAGATCACTCCTTTTATTAAAAGTTAAAGGATTTCCAAAAATACCTGCAGGAATGACGTAACTAAATTCTACTGTATTTTCCAGAAGCACAAATAAAGATGCATCCAGCTCCAGCTGCCCTTCAATGACTGCTGTTTCGTCATGACATGTACCTTTAAAAATCTTCAAAAGTGATTTCCCTATTTCCAATTTCCCTTTAGATTCCTCAGTAAATAATAGATATTTTTTTAAAAACCACCTTCTGAAAAGCATACTCTATACAACATGACAAAATTCTATGACTATATATTATGCAAATGAATGCAATATTCTCATAAGCATTTAAACAATTGCCTCTTTCCCACAGAAGCTACACCAGCCAGCTCACCATCAATGCCCAGAGCTCCTTCCTTCTTATTCTCCAGGCACGGCTCAAACTTGCTGATGATTTCCAGGCAATGCTCTTTAGTCACATTCGTCATCTGTAAAAGTAGCAAAAATTGATGTGTTAACTGGGAATCACAGCTTCTCTTCGCTTTTTTCTCTGCGTACAATTTAACAACTGGCCAGATCATCCATAGCAGTACTCAGGATTTCCAGTCACCCAGTGAGATTCTCACTCCTGTCAATCAGTGTCAGGTCAGATAAGAACTAGGCTGCTTTGTGAAAAGTTTCTGCCCTATTGGCAGCTGCCTGATGGCAGCCAATAAAGACAGAGTTCTGCTTTGTAGGTCAAATCTGGTTAGAGCGTTATTAGGCACAAAGAGCATCCAAACAGAACAAGCTTTGTCACAAACCAATGGGATTTCTTCTCTTGTAGGATTAAAGGATTAGTTTGCATTATCAAAGGGTTTTTACTTCAAAATAAAACAAGAAAATGGCTCATCTTTATGCAGAGGACAGAAAAATCAGTTACTAGCAGGGTAACAGAGAATCAGGACATAATGCTCTCACAAAGCTCCTTGAGGAAATCTGTTAAATTCAAGGTTGCTTTGCATTCTCAACCAAAAAAGGAAAGAGTACAAAGGGAAATATATGTTTGCAAATGTTGTCATTTATTAAGAAGGCCATTTATGATAAGCTGTAGCTTTTTTTACCTTGCAATGTTTTAATAATTCAATATTAACACTGTTACTTAATATTCCTGCTATTTACTGTTGATTTATCCCCTAATTATTATCCCTGCTCTTATTTAATACTCCTGTCCTGCGTGGTCCAGCAAAGCCCTTGTCAGCAGAGGGGACTGCCAATAAAGTGACTGAATTGATGACTGTTTTGGCAACACGGAATCTTTGCTTAGGGGGAAATGAAACCACCAGCATATCTACTACCAGATCAATGACTTTTCTGGCAGTGATTTAAAACCAAATAATTAAAAGAAGAGAAAGAAAAAAAAACCCTAAGCCCTTATTTGCCCATACATTACAGGTTTGGTGGGTTCAAAAGATAAAGCTCTGGAACAACAGAAGGTTTTTCTGGTACAGCTTCAAACACGCAGATGAACACTTGTTTTCCCTGTGCATATTGTACGAGAAAGGGTAGCACAAGGCAAGGGAGAGAAGCCCCACAGGCATGAGTTGTCCATGTCAGTGATTAGTTGAGCTGATTTGCGTCCTGGGGCGAGTGTTCATTTTCCTCTCACCATCTGGAGGATCAATTGACCAATGAAATGGAAACATACCCCACTTATCTAAAAAGATAAGTGCCAGAGAGGTGGCTTTTTTATTCATTCATTTCTCCAACAACGCTTGGAACTGATGGAGATTTATGACTTCCAGGCATGCAGCTTCAAAAGAGATCATGAGAGGAAAAAGGCAAAGATGAGCCAATGCGTTTGTTCCGGCATTGACTGCATCTTGCTGTCCAATTATTTTTCCTCACTTCAGAATCTTCCGTAAGTGTCTAGATGGAAGTCCACAGGATCATTCAGGGACCCCAGGAAGTCACCCACCCCCAAATCCTCCTCAGAGCAGGGCCAAATGCAAGGTCAGATCAGTTAGCTTCGGGCGTTACCTAGTCTGATCCTCAAAACCTCCAAGAATGGAGGCAGCACAACCTCTCAGGCAACCTGTTCCAATGGATAAATGTCCTCCTGGTACAGACAGATCTAACTGTCTAGTTTTCACACATATCACAACAAAGTTCTCACCTCTTCAAAAGGGCAATGGATTCCCAAAGGCAAACAGAAAGGCACACAGACTGGAAGTGTTTTCCCAGTTTGGGCCTACCTTCTGTTCAGTTTCCAGAAAGCGTTTCAGGTCATCTGCATCCAGGTAGTCCTTGTGGTTGCTGTAGGTGAGCATTAGCAGGTACAAATCACGTCGTGTTGACATCATCTTATAGAAGGTGCAGAACTCATCGAAGCCCAAGGTGCCCTGGTTGTCATCCGTATCAGCCTCCTGCATCACACAGCAATAAGGCAATGAGATACCCAATGCCCAGCAAGAGCCCGAGCAAACTTTGAATAAACAAACTCCTGCAGGAGAATAAAGCAACACTGAAATTAAATGCAGGTTGCTGCTGCCTGCTGTGGCTACTGTCTGTACAGCCTGCTAGAACAGACTGATCCATCAGGCTGATGCTTTACACAGCTTTCCCCTTTGAACCTCTGAAATGTATGCATTAGTGTGTGAGCCAAGAAACAACTTTTAAGGTCTTTATTGTTCCACAGGGAACCCTGCTTGAAGGATTTCTTCTATCTATGGCAGTGAAGTAAGATAGTATATGCTGCAACTAATAAAAATGGCTTTTCCCATTGTAACTATGGCAAGACTTTTTTAAAGAACTCACTACTTTTTTAACTAGAAAAATTAATATTCAAGGTAACTTCCTCCAAGACCTACATATAATCTACCCTTCTATATCTTATAATACTTTGTGCAGCTATTTCATTAACCAAGAGATTTGATTTTTCATTTCAAGGCTGCTTAATATTCTGATTCTAAGCTATCAAATAGCAATTATATTTTCAGTTGAGACCAGCTCAGCTTCAATTATGCATTGCATGAGGAAAAAGCAAACCTGTTCTTCTTTGTTAATAGCATTTCTAAAGCACCTGATATGTGCAGTAATTGTCATTGATTACGAACAGTAAAACCAGAACACAGCATACAATAAGCGCAAATTTTTTTTGTGCAAAACTTACAGGAGTTCACTATGCTGAAAACTATTGATCCAACTTCTGCTTAGGTGCTTCACACAACAGACTTTTTGATTATAAAAGCATATGCACCTCCATAGTTCATATAGTTGCCCAATAAATTGGGTTTAGGTCAATAGAATGCAATGTCAAACAAATGGCTCTTTGTAGTGCAACAACATGACAGATACAGAAGCTTGCATACTGGATATTTTATTAGTATCAGTTATTGGAGGATATTGGATACTTTACTGGATAATATTTATTACAGAGAATGTAATCAGAGAAGGAAATGTGACTGAGTTTCAGATAAACAAATACAGAAAAAAAAAAAATCAGTCTTTGTATTGTATGTCTTTCTGTTATGTAACACCAGAAGGTACCTGGTGTAATGCCTTTTCTATGAATAACAATTTATCTATGACGTGTTTCTGCAGCTCTCTTCAATTTACCAAATGGACTGTGTAGCATCTCTCAGCAGAGTGGAAACAAACCAGCTGCTGAAGCATTTACAATCTCTCCTAATAGTTTTCATGCTAAATCTCCAGCAGCTCAATCCTTCTTCTTTTAGAAAAAAAATACATTTTTATTTCTTACCTTAAACATTTGCTTGACCTTTTGTCGGGGCAGGTTGACGTTCAGTTTGTGCATTAGCTGGAGCACCTCATTAATACTCAGACTGCCATCACCATTTTTATCTGCCTCATCAAATGTCTGCTTCAACCACATTGAACAGGAGTTAAGGAACAGGATGGATTATCAAGAGATATTACTGAACATTATGTATATATGATTTTTTTTAATGTTAGGAAAGACTGTATGTGAGGCTGGGGATGAATGAAAGTTCAAGGTAATATATAACTCTACTTATGTTACTTCAGTAACAGTTTCTGCACTTGCTATGCTCAACGTGCAACACACACTATTTACCCAAACTACAGCACAGAAGACCTAATTTCTGAGCAAACTACAATGTTCCTTCACACTTGTCCTGTAAAATCAAATTAAACAGACAGCTTTACACAGGGAGTAAGAGACGAAAGCATATACCTGTGCATTCTTCAGTTCACTCCAGTCATTCATCTCCAAATCTTGCCCAGAACAATCCTCTTCAATGACTCCTCTCTCTGTCTTTAGAAACTGGGAATACAATGGGAACTGCTGTGGAGCTTTGAGCCTAGTGCTTACTTTTCACAGGGAGTAAGAGACGAAAGCATATACCTGTGCATTCTTCAGTTCACTCCAGTCATTCATCTCCAAATCTTGCCCAGAACAATCCTCTTCAATGACTCCTCTCTCTGTCTTTAGAAACTGGGAATACAATGGGAACTGCTGTGGAGCTTTGAGCCTAGTGCCCAATTTTAGCAAAATAAATACTTAAAGGAATCCCTATGCCACTGATCACTCTCCACCACTGGGAAATGCTCTGAGATAGTATAAGGATATTGGTCTCTGGTCCGTTGGCGTTTTGAGAGGCTGTCTTCATCACTGATCCCTGCCATCAGGTATTTTAGCCCCGTGATCCAGGTGCGTGCTTCCTCTCCACTGGAAGACACCAGGTCAAGAGATTCCATATGGTCTCCATAGTAGATGCTGAAGCAGCAGTTGGGATCAAAACTGCCATCGGCATAGCGCTGAAAGATCTCCGATTGCTTCCCCTCACAGACCTCCTGAATGGAGTCAATAGAAACTAGAATGACAAAAGCACATAGTTCATTAATGACTGTGTGCGTGCCCTAGGCCAGACAAAATGCATTTTTCCTGTAGAGAACTTCTGTAGAGAAAGGGCCCAAACCCCAGATTGCAAGGTCCCCAATTCACATAGGGTTTGCCTGCAACCCATTTACAACACTAGTGCAACCCGTAGAGCTAACAACAGCAGCTTAGTCTTCATAAACTATTTATCATAAAATCATTTACTGCCCTTTAAATTCAAGTACAATAGTCTTCCTGATCACCTGTGAAAGAATCAAATCCTTCGTACTACTTTGATATAAGAAGGCAAGACCCTAGAAGGAATCAGAAGAAAGGTTCTGTGGTTGACACTCACTTTTGGCTTTCTCATTCTTTCGGGAGGGTCTCCAGCGAATACATGACTTGTGCTCATCCAGGTAATAGAAACGGACCAGCCCTTTGGAACCGCCACGGAGTTTGATCATTTGGGTACCAGCTTGCATGGAACTCATACATCTTTCCACTGAAGAGAGAAATAAAGTGATACCAGTAAGTCAGACCTTGCTCCCTTTAAAATCAACTTTACTGGAAGAAAACCTATCAAGCAGCTGCCAAATTAACAGTTGGAGTCAAAGGACAAGATTTCCTGTACTGTCTAATGTAAGAGGGATGATCAAAAAGTCAGAAAGATTCTTGGCTATTGTGGACTTACCTGTAAATGTGAGTTTTCATTCCCATATTAATAGGTATGAAACACACATATGTTGGAATTGGTGCAAGGTACATATCCTTCTTAACACCAATACTATCAGGTTTGGTCTTTTTCCTGCCCTATAACATATAAGGCAAGTAAATCCCCACATTTGCATTAAAGTTAACTCGGATGCTTAATTTGAGTTCCTACAATAAGTAAAAGTTGTGTTGGACACAGTACGAAATTTTACCTGAAAGTTTGGATCCTTGGCCAGCAAAAACTAGCACAGCTCTAGCCATGTCAGGAAAGTAATAGTCATTCTGCCTCGTGTTTTTGCCTCTTAAACATACAGTACCCTTGTGGCATAACAAGGTTTTTTCACATTTCTCTTTGTAAATTCCACAGTTCCTGTCAGCAGTATCAACGGTTAGAAGTACCATGGCTTCTTATGAAGCAGTTTAGTTCGCATTCTGTCTATCCAATTAAATTGAATCCAATTAAGAAAAAAATTTAATTACCCAACTTGGTCATCAAATGTATTCTAGGAACCCTAAAAATAATTCAAATATTTTTATGTACAAATGACTTAAGAGTTAAACCATTTTCACTGCCTTAAAAATTAACAGCAAGAAGATGATTAGAATCCAGTGTGGGACTGCAAAGCTGAAGCCAGCTTCAAAGGCTACATTCTTATAGAGATCTACAGTTAGGGCCAACAACAGACTCATTTTATCCTACACCAGTCAGGTAAACATATAGAACTATTTTGATTTGCTTTCTCTAATATAAATAGTATTTCACTGTACTTAAAAAGATTCCCAAGTTTTCTTCTTGGGAAGAAGCTGAAAAAACAATACTGAGCAGGTATTGCACTGATTGATGCTTTGTGTAAGGCACTCAAATACGACAAGGTTAAGTGTAAATACAATACTATAAGGTTTGGTTTTTTTCCTGCCCTATAACATATAAGATAAGTAAATCCCCACATTTGCATTAAAGTTAATCTGAAATATCAGTTAAATATAGTTCTTTATGACCGAGTTAGAAAAAGCACTGAATGCTAACAAAGTTGGATTTGTAGCCCATCACCCAGTGCTATGGAAGACCCATAATTTTCTCATAAGCACCTTAAGTTCAGAAGCTCATTTCTACAAATACTTCCCCAGATAAGCTGCTCCCAGCATGCGAACAATCCTAATAAGCAAACTCAGAAAAACACCTCTCCCTATTAAAGCAGTTAGAAGATTATGACCTAAAACGCCTAGTGGATCCATATAATTATATTTTAGCATTCAGTCCTAATTCATAAACATTTTGCCACTGCTTGCCAATACCCATGACTGATGAAACACAAAGCACATTGAAAACACACTAATAAGCAGCATGTCATAGAGTCTGAGGCAAAGCTAAGCTGAACTTTCTGAGGCAAAGCTAAGCTGAATTTATCAGCAACATTATTTTGAAACTCCTTTAGTAAAAACACAACATTTTCAGCATGACAGATCAACACTAGGGTTTCTGCAAACCACAAAAAGACTTTATAGCCCAAACATTTACTTCTGTCCAGAAGCAAGAATGCCCACTTTCATTGCACACAGAGCCATCACAAAGGCACTGCATCTGTCTGCTCTTTACATCACACTTTTACTTGCCATCCAGGCCAAAGAAACAGTAAACTCTGAAAATAGTAATTCTAGAAAGTTAAGATGGATTATCAGCTTTTCCTCCCATTGCTTCCATGGATTAAGTCACTGATCCTACAAATTTGCTTCTAGACATTGTAGCAAGAACCTAACAGATTTTTCTCCTTCCAAATGACTGAAAACCAGGTTCTCCTTGGAGGAGGCATTTCCCCTGTACTGCACTTTGGCCCTGGGCCCCTCCCGAGATGTGGCAGCATTACAGACAGCACAGCCAGTGGCCTTCAAAGGAGCAAGTCTTAGAAGATGCTCCCTCCAGGAGCTCCTGTGTCTGAAGCCTCTGGGAGCAAGGCTGGGGCTGTGCCTGTACCTGCCCAGACGGGAGACATTGCTTTGAAATTCAGCTAATGCAAGAAACGGGGCTTGACAACGCTAATGCAGAGTGTTAGCGACTGGCTGCGTCCCAGGAACGAGGCAGCCTCATATTTTCTGCCAGGTCTCCTCTAATGACAGAGCACGGTCTGTGATTTAATGTCCTGTGCCTTTTCTGTCTGGTCTGTTTAAGTAAAATTAAAACTATTACCATGTCCAATGTATCTATATATTCTTTTCAGACCCATGGATGAGAAGTGTAATCTACTACACAGATTCTGGATGGAAGAATGAAAACTAACACATACAATACATATTCTAGTGAGTACAGATCTATGAATAAACACAAGCAAGTCCTGAGTTCAGGCTTTTATCAACCTGTACATACAGATTACAGATGAAACGTATCCAAACTAAAACACTTATTCCATGTATTCCAAAATGCATCAAACCCCACACAGTCCTTTGGGGTAGTTCAAGTCCAACTCTCAGGCAAAAGCAAAAACACTCAAGAGAAGCAAGGAAGAGTAAAAACAAATGGATGCTTCCAGTGCTTTAGAGCTCATATTCAGACAATATTTTTTTTTCTGACGTCTTTCCCAGCACGTAAATGAGAACAACACACTGATGAGAAGGCAAGTATAATTGCTTCTCCTTACCACTGTTCAGGTATCTTCTACAAGGATTCATTTCTGTAGTTCAAGTAAAAATCCCTCTGCTTTGCAATGAATATTTTTTTGGAATAAATGGCTTCAACTACCTTCAATTAAGGCTGAACTTTTCCTCTTGGTAAAATAATAGTCTACACTTCAATAGCACCTTTTTGCAGAATTCAGTTGAGGTTCGGCTCTCTTTTGATCTAAGGAGTTGTCTCAATTTGCATCTGGACAAAATGCAGACATGAAGAGAAGATGAATCTCTGTACTGTGGCAAAAAGGAATATCATAGCAGAGCAGGAAACAGAAACATAGAACACTCAGTTCCAATCTTGTGTTCTTACAAAGCAACTGACACGGTGAAAAGACTCAAAGTGGGTTTTCACAGTTCACAGTTTCACAGAGTTACTATAAACAGTTTTAAAGTAACAATAAATAATAAAACTACACAAATTATAAATCCCTACAATTTGTCCTGATACAAGTAAAAAAAAAAAAAGTGCCCAATTTCATGCTTATTGTTAGAAAGATGTTCTAAATTCTTTTAATTATTTATGGTTCAGTAGCATTATTATCTTTTAGGAGTTTCTGGGTTTGATGTAAATGTGTGAAGGAGTGGGAGTATTTTAGCATGTGAGGATCTAAAGAAGATAGAAGGGTTTAGTCACTGAGTATTTTTATACAGCTTTGTCAAAAGATTCACGTCCAAAGTTCAATACGGCCCCAGGTATGTAGTGGCACAATCAAGAGTTAACCTATGGTATGTTCTGCCTACAGTATTCATAGATCAGGTACAGCAGGCTGATTCGCATCATTATGCGAGGATCCAATTAAAAACAGACCCCATCCCACTTCATTAACCTTCATTTGTCTCATTTTGCATTCCTACAGCCTTGTGAGCAGGTCACTCTCACCATTTAAATCAACGATCTTGTCACTAGTGCAAGAACTTTCTCCCCGTTATTTGCTCTCACTGACTCAAGCCTCACTAAATTTCATGACCCTCTACTATTCTTTTCATCGGCCAAAAAAAAAAAAAAAATCTTAAAGTATCTTTGAAAAAGAAAATTTCTGTATAATTCTGCCAGCAATGGTTGGGATGGTGTTTGCTGTGTGCAAGAGATAATGCAAGACTGAATCCACCCTTCAAGCGCACAACCCCTAATAAATGAGATGTTAATGAGTGAAGAGATGCTCTTAATCCTGTGGAAATTAGGGTGCTGAATTCGAGGTCAGTCTGTTAGCTCTTCACCTCTCGCCTGAGACTCCCTCAGCCATATGGATCCACAGAAATGCAAGAGAGAATAGGACGGCATTTCTGGACCTCTGCAAAAATTCCCATTAGTTTCTCAGCTATCCATACCTCCAACTTACTTGTTAAAAAAGTATCTTTGGTTGGTGAGGCTGACAGATGTCTAGGACAAAAAAAGTGCTTCCAAGGCAACAGATGGTTCTGGTCAAGGCCACTGCAGACTTCCTTGCTGGACATGAGTGGCTCAAGAAGACCACTATTAAAATGTATTTCCCAGAACAGGAAACATCTCATTTCTCTAGCCATTTCTAACCAGGTTTCCTGATTTTATTACCTATTTAAAAGAAAGTCCACTATGAAGCAAAAAGAGACTTTTCTCAGACAGCTTGTCAAGCTTAATAATTTTGCCATGGCATATCAGTATTCAGTAAACAACCTTCCAAGAGTCCAGTGACTTACTATGAAGAAGACAACAGATTTACTTCTAAATGCTCATTTCAAAGACTGAAAACTACAAGTATTGCATGAATAATCAAAGAGTTAAGAGGTGCACAAATTCTGGCAGATAGCAAACCTGTCTTACTGCTGGTACAGAGAGGGATTCTATGGATTCTATCTATGCAACAGAAAATTTCAAAAGGTCTGCACGTGTCAAAATACACAACTTTGCATTTGCTTTTCCAAAAGAATGTAAAGAAATCAGTAATGAAATTATAACTGAGAGGTTCTTGAAGACCAAAATAATTGCACTAGCAACCATGCAAAATAACACAGGACTAGGGCTGTGTCTTCAGTTACTCCTTCTTTTCCACTCCCCCAAACTACTGCTAGACAAAGTTGTCACTAAATGAGATTTAAACATAAAAGCTTTCAAGATGCTACAGTCTCATTCAACAAGTGGCAGGTATT